ATTGAACTTAGTTCTGTTTCAATAATCATGCCTCTTGCACTCCCATTTGTTATCTCTCTTACAATAGTGAAGGTACAAGAGTATACTATAAAAGTTTGATAGTGATTTTGTTTAAATCAGTGTTAAGACTTAATCTTCCCTGTTAGCGAGTGACATGTTGCAACATCACCATGGAGGTTCTTTTCTTGATAAAAGTGATCTGGCTTTGTCACATTTGTTGCATTTATAGTAGCTATTTATTATTGTTATTATTAACATAAATATATATATATATATATATATATATATATTCATAATTGTGTTAATAATAACAATAATAAATAGCTACTATAAATGCAACAAATGTGACAAAGCCAGATCACTTTTATCAAGAAAAGAACCTCCATGGTGATGTTGCAACATGTCACTCGCTAACAGGGAAGATTAAGTCTTAACACTGATTTAAACAAAATCACTATCAAACTTTTATAGTATACTCTTGTACCTTCACTATTGTAAGAGAGATAACAAATGGGAGTGCAAGAGGCATGATTATTGAAACAGAACTAAGTTTAATCATCTCCCTCATCCTCTTATCTTCTATCCTTTCCGTGTCAATTCTCAGCTGATCTTGCAAATGGAAATGCATGGTGCGTACCGGTAACCAAACATCTGAGCTTTTCACTGATCTCCAAGAGCATGAGCACGCTCTACTGAACTTAAAGAATAGGCAGAGAGTTTGTCAGTTGCAAAGGTCTTTTCTCGATGCTCCTCACAAAACGACCTCAACAGCAGGTAATTATGATGCTCCAGTGGAGAGCTAATGTAATGATCAACCCGATCCATTTCAGCTCTACTTTATCATTGCACCTCCACAGACATGGCTTCTAATTCCTATTATTATTCTTATCAAAGTTCTTCAAGGACAAAAAGGATAATGCCAACACTGCTTTCACTCAGGTGACTTATGATTAAAGCACTATGTGTTTGCAGCTTCAGGTTTACAAGTTGAGTTTTTCTGAGAATTCATGGGAACATTAAAGTTGTGGAAAGACATTAATCCTAGATTCAGAAAAAAAAAACAATCCAGACAGAATCTTGAACACACTAGTGAACGTTAAGATCTCATAATACCTTTCATATATACTGCACAACACAAAAACATTCATTCACAGAGGAACTGTTGGCAATTCCATGAACAGAAAACGAAAAAAAAAATCCCAAATACACCTAAAAGAACTACAGCAGAATATCCGATTTCACGTCATGACTGACTCTGGATAAGCATTCGATGACTGAATAAATGAACAGTTTTATTACTCAATAACTCTGCATTCTTACCTTCTGACGGATCTCCTCCTCCATCTTGACCGGTGAGCCAAGTTCAGCGACCTGTTTGACCCCTTCACTGGCATAACCTCCATACTCCCACAATATATAGTTCTTTGAATGGGAAGCTCCAATGAGGGCTGACCAGTGATTGGCTCTCCCTGTGAAGATACATAAGTTCCAATTTATAAGAATGATACATGATCAAATTACTTAAACAATTAGTAATTAACCGTAATCTCTAGCTTCTGCTAACTGTCATACGTGCATACACGAGACAGTGGTGTTCCAGCAGATGATGTAGGTGAACATGGTGACGAACGCAGAAGCACAGAGAAAACAGCAAAACAATACACCACTAATGAGTTAAAAGTACACAACTAGGATTTGTTATGAAAAATGTCGATTTAAATGATTTCGATTTAGGACGAGAGGACACTGGTTTTACTTTGCTGTAAACAAAACTTGGTTCTCACGAGACTCACTCCCAACTCGTCACATAGTTGTGCATCCCCCTTGGCGTCACTTTTTGAAGAACAGGGTACCCCTTTAGCATCATTTTTCGACGTGCAGGGTCCTCCATTGCTTGAAATAAGAAACCCTTTTCTTCAATTTGCCGACGTGAAATGTACTGGGAATTTTATCGTCATGATTAAATTATAAATTAAATATTATATTATTGCATATATATTTGTCACACTTCTCGGGAGGCAAGGAGCGAGGAACGAGGAAACACGGAGATAACTCAATTCACAGTCTTTAATGGTCACACGGGGAATGTAGGAGACACTGGAACACAAGGAATGACGTTTGAGGACCGACAAACACTAACTGAAAGGACTGGGGCTTTTAAACACTGGGTGATTGGGAAAACACAGGTGCAAGGAACGACTAATTAAAGGGTACATGGCACACCTGGGGAGGGAAAATACAACACAAAGAGTCCAGGGGCGTGACATTACTCCCCCCTCCTGGAAGGTGCGTCCTCGCACCGTAGAAACAACATGGGGAGGGGAGTGGGTGGGAACTAGGGAGGAGGCTCAGGAGGAGGACGGACACCCGGGAGGGGGCCGGCAGACAGATTCCAGGGAGGAGGAGGACTATGGCTCACCCCAACGGCGGCGGAGCAGGTGGTGGAGGAGCCCGAGGCGCAGACGGAGAGCAAACGAGCCAGGGGGATGCCGAGGATCCGGGGGGCCAGGGTGGAGCCGAAGGCTCTGGCGACTAAGGCGGAGGCGGAGATCCGCGGTGGAGCCAGCGTGACTGAGGACCATGGTGGAGCTGGCGGGAGGAAGGAGCCCAACGGAGCCGGTGGTTGCTCCGGCTCGTGGATCGCGGCGGGAAATGGCTCTCCGTCATCGGTGGGCTCAGGCTGATGCTCCGTACCGCAGGGAGATGGTGGGCTGGGCTCTGGGTCCGGAGTGGGTCCGGCGAGATCCTCCACAGGGCAGATGGTGAGTGGCGACCCGTTTCTCGCCATAGTCCACTCCACGAAGGCGGCGAATTCCTCCCGAGGACCATCTTCGGACGACAGCGTTCTGCACTCGGCGTTCAGGCTTGCATCATAGAAAGAGCAGAGCGCGTCGTACAGATAGCTGGTGATGTTCGCGACCTCGAGGAATGACTAATTAAAGGGAACACGGCACACCTGGGGAGGGAAAACACAACACAAAGAGTCCAGGGGCGTGACAATATTGGGATGTGATTTTTCAATGTAAACAGTCAGAACCATTTTATTTATATTACACTATTTACACATTTATGAGCACGTAACCCATCCCCTGCCCCATAGCATTTGTCAGTAAAACACAATATATAACAGGCAGATACAACTACAGTCATAATTTATTAAAAAAGTATTAATATTCCAAGTCTTCCAATGCAAAACGATTGATTTCTGAGAGGAATAGATGCGATTACCGTCTCCATCTGTAAAGCTCATCCTGCACGCTGCAGTCTGTGTGCAAATTCAAAAAACGCCGCCAGAAGAAGCCTTACGTCAGCCTTGGTTGTAGAATGCTATTGGCTCTTGTGTGTCTCGTGACCGTTTGTGTCATGCTATGGGAGTATCTTTTTGAATGAGATGTGAGCGCGTTAAAGGAGCGGCAGGATCATTTTCAGCAATTAAAACCATATGTTTTACTCTCTTCTTCTCATGAAGATATCAAATGGCTTCAGAAGACTTGGAATGCAACAGGACTTGTTTGTAATGCTTTTATACTGCTTTTTGTATGGTCAGTTTTTGCAATAAATATCTGTGAATGTACTTATATTTGCCCGTTACGTGTTTTATATTGTTCAGAAGTGGATAGTTTTGGGGTAGGGGTGGGGTTAGGTGCTCCAATGAAAGTATACATTTATATAAAATTATTTCTATTTTTTACAAATGCATGCAAACCATTAAATTAAGACAAACAACTGAAAACAACAAAAGGACCCTGCACGTCGAAAAGTGATGCTAAAGGGGTCCTGACCAAACGTCAATATGTGACGAGTTGGGAGTGAAAACGTTGCATATTCTCACCGGAGCTCATGCTATGCCTATGTTCTATGTCATCGGCTGGAACACCACTCTCACGTGTATGCGCGTATGACAGTTTATAAAGTTGTAATTATAGATATTTTTTTTTACACAAATGCATCGCTTCATTTCAGAAGGCCTTTATTAACCTCCCAGAGCCATGTGGAGCACTTTTTATAAAGGACGGACACACTTTATTTTGCTTCAAAATCTTAACCACTACCCACTGCCATTAAAAAAGCTTGGGAGAGCCAGGGCATTTTTTTTTTAATATATAACTCTGACTGTCTATAACTTCGTAATGTATTCGGAAGTAAACTTTAGCCACATGTCAAAGACAAGTAATTATGAAATTACATATAAAGATGCACTTAATAACCAACTTAAGATGGGAGCTAGGGAGCTAATTGAGATGCCCCCAATGTCCAGTTAAAATAATGTATATATTTTTTTTTCTTTATCCACTACCTATTTCCACTATATCACTCCTAATAAAACTGTCAAAAATGGCAATAACAATGTACAATTATTATTGCAATTTCAGAAACATGCAGCACATAAATATTCTCAAATTTTCTCCAAATGAATAATTTATGTACAAAACACTCCTTAAATCTCATGGGATGGGGTTCATATCACTCATTTGCAAAGAATGCTTAGTATAGAAAGTCAACCACTGGCACAGTGGAGGCATCAGTCAAAATGTGACTCTAGTCTCTGGCACAGAGAGAGAGAGAGAGAGGGAGGGGGAGATAGACAGATCAATAGGAAATGTGTTACTTATTAAACTATCCTATATGAATTTCACATAAAATTGAGAAAAGTACACTGCTATTTGTAGCAATAACTATTTGTAGTTATTATATATATGCAGATTAATTCAATTACCCACAAATGATTGCATAAACAAGTATTTCTTAAGAAAAAATTTGAATAAATGTAATGAATTAATCAAACAAAACAGATACTGACCGAAAATAATAGGGAGAAGATGTTGTATGGAACATGGAAAAAAAATGCAAGCTGGAAAAAAAACTTCAGTTGCCTGCACAAAAGTGCTATCAAGGATTTTTTTTTTTTATTAAAATGCTGTGCTACGGTAATCATACAAGTAAAAATATTGCATGTTTCATAACACTACAATCATGAAAAGAATAACCCTACTTTTCTGACAGTCAGAAATTGTCCCTCCATTGTGAAGGAGCAGTGTGAAGCTTTAGTGGATCTTTGTGTCCTGTGTACAACTATTCCATGATGCCTTCCACAAATGTCACACAAATGGTTTCCACCTCCCACAAAATGGGGTTCTCCCGCAGGGGCCGGCCAAAAAACACTGAAATAACTCTATCCAGGGCTTTTTTGAGTGTGTGTCCTCGATTTGTCCCCTTAGCCCAGCCCTTAAATGGCAAGTTCAACCTTACCACAAACAAATTTTGCACTTCATAGGAATATTGTATTAGATTATGGAGCTACATTATGCAGGCGAAATGACAGACAGTTCTTCTCAGAACACTGAAAAGAGTTTCACAAATGACACATCCTATCTATAAAAAATGTTATGAAATTACTTCACTTCTCTTTCAGCTTTATAATGTCCTGCTCTAACAATAAAGTCACCTTGTAGGAAAATCTCTACCCTGAGGTATTAAGTTCCAGATCTCCCAGTCTTGCCTTTAAAGCCCTCAATCTAATTTCTACTCACCAATTTAAGCTATTCCACAGGCATGACAGTGTTCACACTGGCTCTGTGAAGAACTGCTTACCACATCCTCCCTGTGCCGCTAATCCACTCAATCCGTCAGATCTGTATCAAATCTCACTGATGCGCTCTGATGTTCCAGTGCTTATTTTCATATGTCCTGCCAAACACAGTATCTCTCTATTTCTACTCTCTGTCTGCTTCAAAAATATGTTTATGTATTTCCCTGGGGGGAAAAATCTCCTTGATCTACTGGGTTGACAACAATGTTGTTCTGAAATGAAGCTTTATGAAGTTGATAAGTGTAAACAGTGACATTCACACACTCTCAATTGACAATTGTTTTGTTTTTGGCAAAATTCATATGAATTAGTATGATTTCATTCATACGTTTTTATACAATCTTCTTTCGCCCGGTTGGCAGTTAGATTTAGAGGTTATTAGCTTAGTGGTTATTAGCATGCATAGTACTAGCATACTCGCTGTTCATTAGCACTTATAAAGCACATATTTATGTGTTATTCTGCATGACCATATTTTAGATCCTGTAATCCTATCCCATGCTTAACTTAACTACCTTACTGTTCATAAGGAGCAAATTAGGAGTTTATTGAGGCAAATGTCGTAGTTAATAGTAGTTAATAGTTAGTTAATAGTGATAATTGGTACCCAAACTAATGTGTAACCAATTCATCCAAATTTGCTACCATTTGCCAAAACTTAAAATGGTGTAAGGAATTTAACTAATTTTATCTGTAATGAAATTAATTATTATTATTATTTTAGCTCAGGTTTTGAGAGGAATCAAATCTAAAGATTCGAAGTCAACCTGATTAGAACTGATTTCAAATTTGATAGTTTACACTTTATCAACTGTTCGTCCAGCGAGACGTTAACGTCCGTGTATCTTAACAATTTGAATATTTGTATTTTCCCTGGCCACAGGTTAATACATGCTTTTGGTAAGTTATAAGCTACGAGCTAAGTAACGTGATCTGGGCAGAGTTTTGACTTTAAAATTTCACGACACAAGACAATACTTCTTTATAAATGAAACAAGAATTTATTGGTTATTCTAGATTACATTAAACTAGGCTAAACACACACATACACACACACGTACAGTTCTGAAGAATGAGAGTTAACGGAGTTTGCATGAAGTTCCCAAGGTTCTAACACTCGTTTTTCCACGAGTTCTTTAAATTCAAACTGAGAGAATCACAAAGCAGAGATTTCTCTTACGTTTACTACTTTAAGATCAATTCAGCACCGATTTCAGCAGATAGAAGACCTTGTTTGTTACTTGCGTTTGTGCTGCAAAGCTTCCTTGTTGGCTGCTTGAGGGAATCCCGGGCTTCGGATTGGTTGCTGAGATGACGTCTGGATGACGTCCTTTTGGGAGAGCCCTCGGTGGTGATTGGTTGGTTGCCGGGTTACGGAGGAGCCTCGAAGTTCTTCTGAGAGAGTCTGATTTGGCAAGACTTTGAGTTCTGCAGAGTTACGAAGCTTCAACGGAGTGGTTGAGTTCTGGATGGCCCGATCTCG